GTTTGATTGGGGTTTAGGGGTTAGGATCATGGGACTTGGGGTTTAGGGTTTAGGGCTCATAACTGGGATGAAGCTATAAATGCTCAAGTTGCATACCCTGAGCCCTAAATTAAATCCTCTGAATCCTAAACACTAATCGCCGTACCCCAAACCCTAAACTCCGAATCCTAAACCCTAAGCCAAGAGTACTCCCGAGGATAAGTTCCCTTTGCATGCTGCAGCTGAACGTGGTCGCACCGATGAAGTGAGAAAGCTGTTGGCTTCCAGACTCTGGGCATTAGCTCTAGGGTTTTGGGTTGAGGGTTTAGGGTCCAGGGCTTAGGATTTTGGATTTGGGATTTAGGGGCTCAGGGCTTAGGAGTTCACCTTGAACACCCCTGGGAGCTTGGGGGAGGTTTTAGGCTTGGGAGTGTAGCGCACAAGCCTGTCGTGTATGTTTCTTTCTTCAAAATAGGGGTACTCTAGGGGCCCTAAACCTTAAGCCTGAGGGATATGTAGGGATTATAAGGGGACTTTAGGAGTCATTATTAGGGGTTCGATGGGGATTCTTCTCAGAACCTCCTCTACAGTTATAGCACTATTCATTAAACAGGCCCCTACATTGTATAGATTGGTTTTGAGACGCCCCAGTTGGAACACACTTGTTAATTCCACGATCCCACATGCAATCATGCTACACCCGTCCTGTACCCTTTCAAACCTGAGTAGGTCACCCTAAGCCCTAAACCATAAACATCAACGGCAGTTGTTTTGGGCCTGTGAGCTCTGCAACTAGGATTCTGATGGGGATGATTCCCCTTCCTCTCGCTGTTTGCACCCCCCGCACCCCCGAATGTCAAATATCTCAATATCTCCCCAACATATAACCCGTGTCTCATAGACGGCATGTTTAAGGGTCCAGGTAAATTATAATTTGATAGTTTCCCAAAATGAGGGACCCCGATATGGACCCCAAAAACCTAATGATAGGGACCCCCCAAGACGTTCCCCCCAATTTGGGGAAACTGAGAATTATCATGGTTCTAGGTGGCTAAACGCTAGTTCACATCATGGTTTGTGGTACCCAAGGTACCATAACTTGGGTACTTGGACCTTAAGGGCACTAGGGAACAGAGTTTACCTTAAACCAAAAACCCTAAATTCGGGTTTCTGAAAGAGCCTGCCTCTCTTGCTGAGGAGCATGTTGCAGTCTTGAAGCACCTGACAACTGTGCGACGCCATTGCATTTGGCAGCTCTCCACGGCCACGGAGAGGCTTGGTCTTAGGACTCTTGCTTTTGGAGGCTTTCAATAGGCCATAATACAAGCTAGTGCTTACAAGAATAAGCAGAATACTCATCACGAGGAGAATATCAATACTAGTGCGACTATCAAAATGCCGAATATCGATACTAGTGAAATGACCCCCCTTAAAATAGAGAGGCTAAAAGCTTATTAACGCTTAATGAAGGATGCCCCTAAACCCAATCAGTTAAGGACGTGGTTAGCCTCTTGCTTGCAGCTGGCTCTCCTCATGATCCAACCTTGATACTTGGCTGGCTTTCGCCTTGGTCGTAAGGTCAGGGTTTGGGGCTTAGGGTTTAGGATTTAGGGTTTTTTAGGGATGGATGGCTCAAATCTTGCACCACTCTATAGGAATCACTGTATTCTAGGAATCCGCTTCCTTGCTGCAATATAGTCCTAAAGCTTGCGCCTTAAACCTTAAAGCCCAAACCTTAACCCTATAACCCCCAAGCCTTAAACCCTGAACCCCAAACCTTAAACACTGAACCCTAAACCCTAAATGCCACAAGTAGGGAGTTTAGGGCTTCAACTTTAACTCTGAGGGCTTCTTTTTTTGAGCCATTGTCTAAACTCCTGGTAGCACTCCCCTATATAATCCCCTACACAAACCCCCTCAAGGAGTTTGGACCCTAACCGCTAAACCCTATATAATCCCCTATACAACCCCACTTAAGGAGTTAAGACCCTAAACCCTGATCTCCCGTATAATACGCCTGTAAGGAGTTTAGGCTGTAGCTCTTGTCAAGCCAGGGCTGGCAATGGTGCCACTCCTTTGCTGTTGGCGGCAGAGGACGAGTCAAGGGTTTGGGGTTTGGGGCTTAGGGTTTAGGGGTTCAGGGTTCGGGGTTAAGGGTTTACGGTTTTTGGACTCAGGGTTTGGGGTTTAAGGGGTTGGGTTTTAGGTTAAGGGTCTGGGGTTTGAGTTTTAGGGATTGCAGGTTAGGGTTGAGGGTGTTTGTTGTTAAGGATCGTATTCTAAATTACCGTCATGCTTTTTTTATGTGTGTATATATATATATATGGTGCCCCCCCGATGTACCTACCTTTTTTGGCCTTTTGTCAGATTACTCGTCTGCATCAACCACATCGAACGCAATTTGGAACTGCATTATATGGTTGTGTTTTACTAAAAACATTGGTTTTGCCCATGTTTTCTAGCTCCTACAAAAACATTGGTTTTGCCAATGTTTTCTAGCTCTAGGTGCAGAAAACATTGGCAAAACC